GTGGATGCTTGAGACCAAAAAATGCCAGAGAAATTTGTTTCAAACGGACAAATTTAATTTGGTTGGTAGTAGTGGGTCGTTTGCGCCAAAAGTTTTAGCCTTAATTTTAGAATTTTAATTTTAGATATTAAGTTTTATTGAATTTTGAAGATAATTATGAGGCCACTAAAAATGAAATTAATTAAAAACAATGGTAAAAAAATTAATTTATTATACTAATGATTGTTTTATGTTTCGAATGATTTTATTTTAAAATATTATATTATATTACACTATATTATATAATTTCATATTATACATTTAGATAATGAATATGAAGCTTGTTCACCTGCCAAAAGGAGAAAAAAATTAGACGAAACTAAAGAAAATGATGATAAGAAACCTTCAACGCCTAGTAGTAAAGTTAATAATAATAAGAAGAAAATATTAACTGAATCCAAATCCAGTATAAGAACTAATTCAGTTTTAAATTTTTCTGAGGATAGCTCATCATCCCTTAGTGATAGTGACGATGATGACATTGAAGAACTATTTTATCAATTACAAAAATCTGGAATTAAAACTATTGAATCTCATTTTAATTCTAAAAAAACTACACCTAAAACTGAAACACCCAAAGGTAGGATATCCAAGGCAGAGACACCTAAACATGAAATAATATCTAAAATAGAAACATCGAAATGTGAATCATCCAAATCGGAGACACCCAAACGAAGAACATCTAAAATAGAAACATCCAAATGTGAATCATCTAAATCAGAGACACCTAAACGAAGAACATCCAAAGTAGACACACCTAAATCTGACAAATATAAAATAGAGACACCTAAAGTAAAAAAAATTAAAACAGAAACACATGCATATGAATCATCTAAAAAAGAATCACCCAAGGTAGAAGTATCGAAAAGAAAAACACCTAAAACACCTTTAAATGGTAATACATCAAGTCAAACTAAAAATTCTACCAGTAAAAAAACTCCTATCAAAAAGAATAAAATTAAAAAAAAATTAATCGAAGAATTTAGTGATTCAAGTGAAGATGTGAATGATTCTGATTCGAGTGATTTTGAAATAAAATCGTGTATTAATGTACCTGATCTAGAAAAACTACCTGAGGATTTAATTTTAAATTACAAGAGAACTCCGAAAAAAACTAATAGATTTGAGATAGAATACACACCTAGCAAAATTAAAAGGTTAGTGTGAAATTGAAATTTTATTTATGTTTTGTTCATTAAAATTTAACAAAAATAATAATAATAATAGGTTTAAATACTGGTAACATTTGACTTTTTTTCAGCACTGAAAAAATTATTATAAAAACACCGAGCAGATCTGCAGGGAAAAATAATTACGAATCAGATGATTTATTAAAAAGTGATCCTGAGTCTACTCCAAAACGTAAAATTTTAAAAACATCTAGAAAAACATTATCTGGACAAAAGAAAAAAATGACTCCACAGCTGCCAAAAATATTAGAAATTGTAAATATATATATATATATTTTTTAAAGCAATCCGCTGAATTCGATACGGTTGAATGAGTAAATTTTTTTTTTTTTGTTTAGGATGAAAGAGGATCTGCAACACCCTTAGAAAAAGCTTGGGTCAATTTGCATGCGTCAGCTGTTCCTAATTTTCTACCTTGCAGAGAAAAAGAATTTAATAATATTCTTACGTTTGTCAAAAATAAACTCTGGGATGGAATCGGAGGGTAATTTTATTTTTTATATAATATCATATGTAATTTAAAAATCGATCGATTGAAAGAATTTTTTTTTTGTCGTAGGTGCATGTACATATCCGGTGTACCCGGTACGGGAAAAACAGCCACTGTAACACAAGTCGTTAAACATTTAAAAAAATGTGCTGAAAACAACGAAGTACCAGATTTTAAATTCGTGGAAATAAATGGAATGAGATTAACCGATCCAAGGCAAGCTTACGTTCAATTATGGCGAAAACTTTTTGATAAAAAAGATAGAATTTCACCGGACCACGCTCAAAAATTATTAGATAATTGGTTTAGTAAAAACGATAAAAGAAGCGAGAAAAAAACAACGGTTTTGCTTGTGGATGAGGTATGCTAAACAATTTAATTGGCATCATCAAAAATGTTTTCAATACTTTCGACTAATTTTTTTTTTTCTTACATAGTTGGATTTGATCTGTCATAAAAAACAAGATGTAGTGTACAATTTACTCGACTGGCCTACTCGAACTCATTCCCGCCTCGTTGTTCTCACCATAGCAAATACAATGGATATGCCTGAAAGATACTTTAAGGGTCGAATAACGAGTAGAATGGTATGATTCGCGATGAGAGGAGGTTTAACTTTCCCATCGCTATTCATCATCGCATTAATCGCGAAATTAATTTTTCCAGGGATTAACGAGATTAACATTCACACCATATACTTACAAACAATTGGAAGAAATCGTTTCGGAAAGACTCAAAGGGCTCGACGCATTCGAATCCGATGCGGTGCAATTGGTGTCGAGAAAAGTGGCAGCCGTGTCTGGAGATGCCAGGAGAGCACTTGGCATTTGTCAAAGAGCGGCTGAATTACCCGAATCTTACGGCGAAGTTAAAATGAGTCACATAGAACAAGCAATTAAAGAAATGACAAATTCGAATATCGTTAAAATCATAAAGTGAGTGATACATATATATAAAATTTCAAGCGTGATAATAATAATAATGATAATATTGTAATTCAATGTCTTGTTCTGTGCAGAAGTTGTAGCTTGATGGAAAAACTTTTTCTTCAATCTTTATGCGACGTAACGTTTCATTCAAATGCAGATGAAGTCGAATTAATAAAAGTAATAGATCAACTCTTGACAACTTGCGTTTTGGAAGGAATTCCACGACCGGTCGTATCGACAATTTTAACTATAACAAATCGTTTGAGATGCTGTCGTTTGATTTTTGTCAATCAACCAAAAACAGGAATTTTACAACGAGTTATGTTAAACGTTACTCAAGACGACATTCATTACGCCGTCAAATGTTAAATAATTTCGCAATTTCAGTATTACAAAAAAAAAATAATAATCATAAGCTGCGTTATAAATAAGACTGATCATTATTTTAAGAAAAAAAAAAAAACTTTTATATATATAAATAATTTTATAAATTTAAAAAATTTAATTAGTTTTGTAAAATATTTAAGATAATTTTTAACGGTATTAATAACACTTTTTTTAAAAAGTAAGAATAATTAGAAAAAAGAAAAAAGTTTTTAAAAAATTTTATTATACTTTGTGCGACATTTTTTTTTTTTTTAAATTTTATTTATATTTTAAATTTTAGATAAAAAAAATTTTTATAAGATGAAATCATTGTCGTATGTAAATTTTTCTCATTTAATTTTTTTGTCCGGCTTGTGTATGAGAACCGTAATAATAATAATAATAATAATAATAATGAAATCGTAAGCGTGCAAGTTTTAATATTAAATAGTCAAGGATTTAAATGCAGGGTTTCCGCAGTGTGAGTCGGTAGTCAATAATTAAAATAAATTTAAATTACTTGAAAGGGGTCAAAATCGTCCTCTCCTCGAATGGAAAAACATGGAAATGAACTTTATATGACCTTTGGCCTACTCTTATTCCCAAAAGAGATGATGAGATTAATTTTTAAAACAGATTACAAATCTAAATTAAAATGAAAAAACTTTCAAGTTTTTTGAAAAAGAAATGGGTGAGGGGGAAGGGGGGGGGGTTAAATGAAAATTTTCAAGGTTTTTTTTTGGGAATTTATTTTTTCATCACGTTGTTGTTGTTGCGAAATGATAATAATAATAATTATTATTACATTGTTAACCCGTCTCGACATCATTACCTTTGTTATTTTGCGGTATTGTTTGTATTTTCATTAACCAAGGCTAGCGACTTCCGTTCGAAACGTACGTTTTCCCTAATTATTATTATTATTATTATTATCACCATCGTATCATCATCATCAACGCTATCATTTTTTTTTTCCGTTGCGGGTTCATCGTCATCATCATTATCGATAAATTTTACTACGTAAATTAAAATTTTTTTTTTAATGTCGCCAAAGTTTTTGTAAAAAAAAATTTTTTTTTTTTATTATCAAAACGAATTCGTTCTAGAATCGTCATAGAAATTTTTTTTGAACAAAGAAAAGAAAAAAATTGATTTTTTTAAAAATTCGTTGTTGTTTTAATTTAAAGTTACAAACTAAATTAAGTCCTTAAAAATAAAATTGTAAATATTTAAATTTTTTTTTTTTTTTTTTTGTCATTACGATGCTGGAACGAACTGCGTTTATTATTATTATTATTAGTAGTAGTAGTATTAAACTTTCGGGCTAGAAATTTACATTGTTCGATTTTTTTTTTTTATATAATTGTACTTATTTATAAATGTAGTATTTAACTTATGCAACTTCTTCGATGAGGAACTTGTAAAATTTATTTAAATTTTGTTTGTTTTTTTTTTTTGTATCGCGCGCGAAAAAATGGAGGCTGGAGAACAAAAAAAAAAAAATAATCAAAAGTTTTTTGATGGAAAACGATTGGTTATTTTTTTTGTACGTCAGCCTCTCGCGTTTAATTTTTTTGGTTTTTAAATTGTAATTTATTTAATTTAATTATGTGTTAACTAAGATTGGGGGGTCGGTTGAGTAACGTCATCTGATTTGGTTGATAACGATTTAGTTTCCGAACCTTGTTGTGTCGTTGATGTAAGAGATGCCAAATAAGAGGATGTGAAATACTGACCTCCTTTGTAAGAGGGATAAGAACCTCCCGATCTGTGTAATAACCCATCTTTACGGTCTCCGTAATTCCAAGAATGTTTGTCTTGTGTCGAGCCTTGAGCTTGATCCCGATCTCCTCCGTTACCATTTCCTCCATTTCCGTTTCCGTCGAAGTATCCATCGTAAAATGGTTTCTTTTTCATCGGACCGAAGTAGTAAAATCTATCGCGACCCAATTCGTTATTTTTACCTCCTGAATAATAATCGTTACCGTTTGAATATCGATCGTCTGCAAATCTGTTGTAACCGTCTCCACCGCTAGGGTAATAATTTTTATATACTCCAGAATATGAGTTTTTATCACCTGGATAACTTCCTCCGAAATAATTTCCTTGATTGTTTCCATACGGGCCGTTGTGGTTATTTGGTCCGATTTCTGTTATGTAACCGGTGTAGTATCCTTTCGGTGAGCCTTTACCATCTGAATAATAAGACCCGCCCGAACTTGGTCCCAAGTAACCTGAGCTTGGATATCTGTTGGAATACCTGTCCGGATATCCATCGGAATATCCGGAGTTTTCAATGGAATAAATTCCTGGTTGTCCGGCTGAAAAAGATGAAATTCCTGAATAGCTGGGTCTTCCAGGGTTAAGCCCGTAGCCACTATTTGAACTTCCACCAGAAGATGGTCGATTATTAGAAGGATTATTTCCTCCGTAGTAATAATAACCATCCGGTCGGTGTGAACTTTCAAAATAGCCTCCAACGGGTCGAGTTGATCCACCGGAATATCCTGAATAATCACTTGGACGGTTATTAGGGTTAGAGCCCCCTCCCGATGAATATCCGCTTCCTCTTGAGGGATAACCACTACCTCCGCTTCCTCCTGAGGGGTAGCCACTGCCCCCACTTCCTCCTGATGGATAACCACTACCTCCGCTTCCTCCCGACGGATAACCACTGCCTCCGCTTCCTCCCGACGGATAACCACTGCCTCCGCTTCCTCCTGAAGGGTAGCTACTACCTCCGCTTCCTCCTGAAGGGTAGCTACTACCTCCGCTTCCACCTGAAGGGTAGCCACTGCCCCCACTTCCTCCTGATGGATAACCACTGCCTCCGCTTCCTCCCGACGGATAACCACTGCCTCCGCTTCCTCCTGAAGGGTAGCTACTACCTCCGCTTCCTCCTGAAGGGTAGCTACTACCTCCGCTTCCACCTGAAGGGTAGCCACTGCCCCCACTTCCTCCTGATGGATAACTACTGCCTCCACTTCCTCCCGATGAATAACCACTACCTCCGTTTCCTCCCGATGGGTAACCACTTCCTCCGCTGCTTCCTCCTGAAGAGTAGCCGGAAGAAGGTCTTCCTCCACTAGAATGCGACCCGCCATTACTCGGATACCCTGCTACATGATTTCCCGACTCGGGTCGATCCGGCCTTCCGGCATTAGATCCGTGATAATCAGGACCATTATGTCCATCATGGGGATAAAATAAATTACCACCTCCCGAATATCCTGGCCTCTTATTTCCTTCCGTTCCCCCCGGAAAACTCGATCCACCGTATGGATATCCATGATCTGACACAGCAACCGACGGTCCATATCCCGGAGGAGCTTGCCAAGGTTTTCCATTATTTTTATCCGATGTGGAAGGATATTTTCCTCTATCATAATCATTATTATGATTCGAACCGGGTCTGTACGCCGAACCTGGTCTCCTGTCACCAAAACGATTTATCGAATTATAATCCCAAGGTTTATCTTTATTCGATGAAAAACTAGATGGATCCCTATCGTTAATTCTCGTTCCTTGATAAGGTCTCCATGATGGATTATGATTACCGTGGTAATTAACAAAAGGTTCGTAACTCGGATACCTATTACCGTATCTGATAAAATTATTTCCACCACTACCACCTCCGTAACCCCTGTCTTCCGGTCCATTGAAATAAAATCTATTAACTGGTCTTTCATCGCTAAAAAATAAAAATTTATCAATTAGTAATAATAACAAAACTAAAAAGTTTTTTTAGTTTTAGTTTTAGTTTTAGTAAATTTCATCAATGACCTACTTAGTATTGTTAGTAGATGACAGTCATCTAAATTACACTTTTAAAAACACAACCGTTGTTGCAGCAATTTCAAGGATATCCTGCCACGTACAATTTAAATATAATTACGGGTAGTGTTAATCAGGTTAAAATTATTTGTAAACAGAAAGAGAGAGGGCGTGGGAGGTGCGGGAGGGAGGGGGACAGTCAATTTATCTTCTGCTTGATAAAAAATTTATGTCACGAATAAATCGTTTGATGATTTTATCTTATAGTTCGTTAATGACTTGTGTTAATTAATTTTGTTTACTACTTACTGGTCATCCCAATTTTTACTATAACTCCATTTCATGTTGCTTCCATTCCAACCATTTTGATTTGTGGAACCATATTGCCAATTTGATGCATAACCTCTATCCCTCCAATTCGAATTAATTTGATTCGGATAACCGTCAACAAAATAATAAGTCCTACCGCCACTTCCATCCCAATTTGAAGGACCCTTGTCTTCGTTCCACGGTCTGTGATTAGGATTGAAATAACCACCGTCGGGACTTTGAGATCCTGGTAAAAATCCACCATGTTTTTCTTCTCTAGAATCCGGTTCTGAACGATCATAATCGGAATCACCGTTAAAAACCCAAGAGATTCCATTACTGAATCCATCCCATCGAGTTCCACCACCGGAAATTCCATCCCAAAACATATCACCACCGTAGGAAGGAACATATGCGATTCTGCTACCCGGTTTTACCAAAACTCCAACAGCTCCACTACTAACCCTTGTTTCGTAATCGTTGGGTGAAGTTATTGGTCCTCTAGACCAATATTCAGGTTGTTCGGAACGACCCGTAGGATATTGTTGATTTGATTGTCCCCCTATATTTTGTCCACCGGGTGATGGAAATTCTCTACCACGAGAACCCTCCGATCCGCCATTTCCAGATAATCTATTCCAGAAGGCTCGACACGTATCGCAAATAATACGAATGTTTCCTCCATCTTGATTATTCCAATTTGACATCTGCCTACCATCTCGACCTCTTCCATCTCCTACGGAACTTTTTAATTTTTGCGGATGTGCTGGTCCACCCCATGCTTTGGGTGACCAGTCGTATCCGAGATTATCTGCACCGTTTCCGCGATATTCGGAATTGGAAGATCTACCGGCTGGTACTCCTAAACTTTGTTCGCAAGGCGTACATCTTGTATTTCTATTACGAGAATTGTTTCCCGTTGATTTTTGCTGTCCGTTATTTTTTTTCAATGTAACGTTCGGATCGGATTTTGGCAAACTGTGAAGATGATCGATTTGTAATAGAAGAAGAATGAAAAAAATGAAAAAGTATCGCATCGTTGACGTGATCTGTAATGTAAAAACAAATAATAATGATAATAAATTCTTTTTTTATAAGAAAGAAAGAGAGAGAAAGAAATGGAAGGTAGGAAGGAAGGAAAGAAGGACAAACAATGATGATGGGGGGGGGGGTCATGTTATGTTACCTTGTGGACGGTAAGCTAACAAGTCTACCGTAAAAATATGGCAAGCAATGAACATAATTATTTTTGATTATCCATTGTATTATTAAAAAAAAAAAAAAAAAAAATTTCCCACGTAAAATTAATTCTTCGGCATCTTCTTGAGGATATTCATTGTTTTTTTTTATTGGGGGGCGAGGAGCGCGTGCAATCATCATCATCCACACCACCCCCCCGAATATTATGCAAAAGATGACCTTTGATCATATCAAATTTTACGACACGAGACAACGAAAATAACAGCGACTTTTAAAATAAGATTTTTTTAAATTTTTGCTACCGTTCAGACACACGCACACACACACATCGGCGACATTTTTTTTTATTTTACTGACCCTCCTCCTTCTCTTCCTCCCTCCGCCCCTCCCTTTATAAATATTTAAAAATCAAAAATGAAAATAATAATTTTTTTCTTAACTTTACGATAGCAAAAGTTAGTCGTTAAAGATTTTTGTATTTAACGAAAGCAAAATTAACTTTAAGAAAAAAGAAAAATGGAGTCTCTCACCTTTTACTACTAATTAACTTTTTAAAAAAAATTTTCTTTTTTCCTTTTTTTATCCGACCATCTTTCGATTATAATCCGACAGCAAAAAAAAATTTTTTTTAAAAGTTTTCTTATTATTATTATTATCACTTCGAATAATCCTTTTCCCACTAGCAAATATTAATAATAATAATTTTTTTCTTTTATATTAAAAAAAAAAAAATTCACACGCACAAATTTTTTTTTTTTAAAAACCGTTACAAAAATTTTTTTTTTATTAAACCACATCAAACATTTTAAATTTGCTACCGTTTATCATATATATATATTCGCACTATTTTTCGGAAAAAAGAAAAAGTGAAAAAACGAATTTTTTTTTAGCAAATCTTTTGCTTTTATACGAAAAATAAAAATTCAACGAAGCGAATAATGAAAAAAAAGGCCAAACCATCCACTTTTCTCTCTCTCTCTCTCTCTCTCTTGTTTTTCATTGGATAAAATAAGTGGGGGGAAAATATTTTTTAACCTCCTCCTACTCCCACTACCACCACCACCACCGCCAGCACCATCATCATCACCACTACCTGAATATTTTCGTATTTTTTTTGCCACGATTAACCCGGTCTATTGAGTCGAAACGAGTTATTATTATTATTATTATTATTTATTTCAAGTGCTTCGAACCTGTTTTTTTTTTTTTTTTTTACTACTACTACTACCTTTTTTTTATCATCATCATCATCATTATCATCTTTTGCGAATTTCAAGTTTAATTTTACGATATTATTATTATTATTATTATTATTTTAAATAACGTTATTTGGCGTCGGTATTCGTGTGAGATTCTTCGTGAATTTTTTTTTTTTTTCATTCATTTCAAATAAATATTATTATTATTATTATTATTATTATTATTATTATTATTATTATTATTATTATTATTTCGTACTTGCAAATCATATTTGAAAATTCTTTCGCGTGTTTTTTTTTTTTTTGCTTTTAATAAGATGGTGTCATGTATAAACTAAATTACATACTTTTTTTTTGGGGGGGGGAAGGGGTTTTTATGCGAAATTGAATGTAATGAAAGGTAACGAGGCGGTTAATGTATCGCAAAATTTTTTGCTACGGTAAAGGAAAACGAAGAAATGTGGATAAGAAAATAAACGAGAACGGGAGGGATATTTACATTATTATTATTATCACTCGTTATCGAAGGTTTTTCTACCCTAATCCCTAAGGAATATCACAGGGATGCTGCATGTCCGATGAATCTTGTTATAACCTATGACGTCACAGCAGTACTCGTAAGAGTCTTACTGAGACCATCTTATCCGAGATGGAAACGAGTTTACATTTCCTCGGCTCCGGTTACAAGAACGTCAGTGGAGTGTCCAGGAATGGAAGAAGTGAGATGATTCAGGTCGACAATAGAACAAGATTTGCCTTTTGTCTTATTATCATTATTATCATTTTTATTATTATTATTATTCCGAGGATTCATATTAAAATTTAAAAGTTATCACACGTTAATAAATAATTAAGGGAATTTATTATGGGGTAATAAAATTGTGTGTGTGTGTGAATGTGTAATAACGGTCGGATGGTAATTAAAAACAATCTTAAGTTTTAATAATAATAATAATGATGATAATGATAATAATTATTTTATTACTTTTTTAAAAAAAATTTTTTGTTTGTTTTTGACTAATTTAAATAAAAAAAAATGGAAATAATTAATAATGATGATGATGATGTTGAAATGATGGTGGTGGTGATGATGATGATGATGATGATAATGATGATGATGATGATGATGATGATGATGGTGGTGGTGGCAGTGAAGATGATGATGATGATGATGATGTTGAAATGATGATGACAATGATGTTGATGATGATGATGATGATGGTGGTGGTGGTGGTGATTATGATGATGATAATGATCATCAATATAAAATAATAGTAAATAAATAATATTTAAAAAAAAAAACTTTAAAAAAAATGAATCCGTCGTAAGGAAATAATTTTAATAATGAAAAAAAATAATTTTGCTACGGTTCAAAGAAATCACCCTATAATAACGTGTAATTTTATGTGTTTTGATTATTATGAAAAGATAAATTTTTTTTTTTTTCAAATTATGTTTTTTTGCTGTTATTATTATTATTATTTTTTCGGGTAAAATAAAAAAAAAAAAAAAAAACAAAAGAAATCTTCTCAATCGTTACGAATTATCATTATCATTATTATTATTATTATTTCTAAGATTCTGAAGGTCATACCTTAAAGAAAAAAAAATTAGTTTTTTTTTCTTTCTTTAAAAAATTTTTTTTTTTTGATACATAATGTGTAATTAAATAAGATTTAATTTTTAAGGAAGAAGAAGAAAAAAAAGGAAGGATTTAAAAGAAGGCGGTGATTTTTAATTTTTTTTTCCCGCCATTAACAAAATTTAAATTTTATAACTCTGGAAAAGACGGACGTGTGTGTTATTATTATTATTAATTAACCGATAATTATTTATTTTTTAATTATTATTATTATTTTTCCCCCCGTATGGTGAATAATGAGATGTTTTTCTTATATTTATAAATTTCGTTGGATTTTTCTTCCTCCCCTCCCCCCCAAAAAAAATTGAAAGATGGCGGGTGGTTGGATGGATCCTCAGGCGGATTAGGATTAAATTTTATTACCAAGTTGAAAGTTTCATGAAAACTTTTTTCTAAAAAAAATGGAAGAAGTTGTAAAAAAGTTTTTTTTTTTTTTAAATTTGATAAATCTAGTTTTTCTTTTCTTTTTTTTGTGGGGGGAACGGGGAGGTGAGTGGGAGGGAGCGGGAGGGGATCGGGAGAGGAGTGTTGGATGAAAATGAAAGACATGTTTAAATTAACAAAAGAAAAATTTTTTCTAGAACATTTTCCGTTTTTTTTGGGTACTTTCACCTTCCGAAAATTTACTACTACACCAACACCACACCACCAGCGCCATCACCAACACCACCACCACCACCAACACCAACACCACCACCACCACCATCGCCATTGCCGCCATTTTTCCTGTTTTCGTTTTTATTTTAACTTGTTTTCCTTCCTTTTCACATTCCACCACCACCATTATTATTATTATTATTATTTTTTTTTTCCTCTTCCTCTTTTTTTTTTTTTTTATTAATTTTTTAATTTATTTTAAACTTTTTAATTTTTTTTTCTTTTTTTTTCTTTTTTTTTGTCGTCTTAAGACATTTTAATTAAATTTTATTGTTTTCAAGCTTGAAGTTTTTCTTTTTTTTTCTTTTTTTTTACTTTTATTTATTTTTTTTTTTTACTTTTTCCTAATAAAATTTTATGTTTTTTCTTCTTCTTCTTCATCTTCCTTCCTTCCTTCTTTCTATCTTTTAAAAAATGCCGAAGGGTTTTTAATATCTTTTTTTACAAAAAAAAAAAAAAAAAAAATTTTTGTTACCAAAAAATAATATTGCGAGTAATTTTTTTTTTTTCGAGCACTCAAATCCAACAACAACAACAAAAATAAATAATTAAATAAAACGGTTAATAATAATAATAGTAATAATAATAATAATAATAATAATAATAATAATAATAATAATAATAATAATAATAATAATAACGATTTTCAACGTGTCCCAAATATTCTAACAGTTTATTATTAAAAAAAAATGGAGGCCGGTTTTTCCTTGACCGTTAAATTACTTTTTTTTTTTTTTTAAAACGTCCGTTAATATAAAATCGCATATTCTATTCAATAATAATAATAATAATCGGGGGAAAAAAATTGTGTTGTTATTGATTTTTATTGATTTATTGGTATATGAAAAAAAAAAAAATCGGATCCAAATTAAAGATTGAAACCGACCGGTTTACAATTCGATGACCCAATACGAGTAGTTAGTAAAAAAAAAAAAATCTCGTTTGTGGGTAATACAAATATTCGTTTGAGGCAGGTAAAAAAAAAAAAATTGTAAACTTTATCATATATGTACGTTTTTTTTTTTAGTCAATGAATTAATGTAAATTTTGTTTTGGTACACTCTCCTCCCCCCCTCAATTTACTCCCAACATAAAATCATTAGTTTTATGAATTTTTTTTTATAACAAAAACATCCAACATCCATTTTTTTTTTTTTTTATTGATTTTGATAAAATTATTTGTTTGTCCAATTTGGAAAATATTTTATATAGAAAAAAGGTATTTTTTAAAAATGGTTCTTCAAAATCAGTTAAAATCAATAAAATAAATTTTCATTTATGTATGATTATTATTTGCTTTCTTAAAGAAAATATAAAGTTTCTTTTAGTTAGTTATTTTAGTTAAAAATCAATAAGAAAACTTGTTTATTGTTTTATATAAGAAAATTTTCCAAAGGAATCAAAGTTTTAATGAGTAGACTTATAAGAAGTCAAAGTAAAGTATTTGGAAAAAAAATTATTTTTATTTGTGTTTAAACATGAAAATATTTATTTAAATTTAATTTTTGGCTAATAATTTATAATTAATTTAATTAATTAATATGTTTTTATAAGTTCTAAGAAATCACGAGGTTAAAATTATTTAATTATATGTATATTTTAAGGTAAAAATGACAAAAAATGAAAAAAAAAACAAAATGGCGTCTTTTGCACACCAAACAATCATAAAAATATTTTAAAAGTCTGATGGATGTCAATAATTTAAAAGTAAATTAAAAAATTGGTTTTATAATAAATAAATTTTAAAAAAAATATTGTTGGATGTTATTAGAGAAACTAATAATAATAATAATAATAATAATAATTCAAAAAATTATTTTTACCTTGAAAATTTTTCATTTGTTAAATAATAAAATAATTATTTAAATAATACTTGACTTCTTCTTATTGAAAAAAAAAAAAAAACAATAAAATGTTTTTAATTATGATTTCTTTTATGTATACTTATTGATAAATGCAATTAGTTTTACATTAAATTTTTTTTTTTTTTTAATAAGTATAATATCTGAGAATTTTATTTTAAAATGTTTAATAATGGAGGAGAAGAGATTATTATTAAAAAAAAAAATATAACGTTTATTATAACTCAATGACTAAAGGAAGAGATTATTTTTAATAAAATTATAAAGTTAATTAAATATTAAATATAGTTTGAGTTTTCATTTTGTTTAAAAACAAACAAATTTTTTTAACGTTTTTTTAATTTGAATTTACTCCCGCATGTAAACATTTGCACGAATGCGACAAAGCGATAATTGTCGCACATTCTACCGACGTGTAATTACCGATTAACCGCCTTTTGTTCTTCTTCAATCATTAACTCTAATCAGGATTTTCATTTGGATTTTTACACGGTAAGTTACATTTTATTATTAGTTTTAATAACCGATATCGTACGTGATAATCTGGGTAGTTATTTAGACAACTTATTAGAATTGAATATTTGTTAAACGAATCAAATTATTTATCTAAAAATTGAAACGTTTTAATCCGCCATTACATGTACATACTAAACATTTTGACAGTGTTCCCCTTTGAAAACGTTTGCATTTTTATATCATTTATAAATAGTAATATTGTAAACTATTGTCACAATGGCTACAGATAAGGTTTTAAAAATGTATTCTACTGTTTTATAAACGTTGTTATCTTTTAATAAACATATGAGTAACATGGAAGCTGGACACAAGAAGAATCTGATCTCCATGTGTCTTATTTATCTTAGTTTGGTTCGTGTTAATGAAAGTGACGGTTATTGGTTACTTGGTATTATTCATTAATTGAGTGAAAAACTTTTTAGTTTATGTAAATGCTTAAACAACAACAACAGAATAAATTCTTTGCCATGTGCTGTGTATTTTGATTGTATTACTTAGAATAGGAAACATAACCTTATGAACGCTTAATAGAATTGGTTGTATTTATTAAGACAAATATTATATAATTTTTATTTTATTTCAAATAGTAGTACATTTAAAAGTGAATAATTTCAATTGAAATAATCAGAAAACCGTGAAGGTTGATGACCTTGAATATTATAATTAATTTGTTTCACTATATGATCTTATAATGTGATGATTTCTTAGTGTGAGCATTATTAGAAATAAAGGAAATCACAAACCACAATAATAATGTTTGTTTTTGGATAATTTTTAATAAATAATTTCCCTATATTGTCAAGAGAAGGTAAAAATATACAAAGGACATAAAAGGACCACTTTTACCATTAATTAAATATCTTTTGTTAAAAATTTTTCTCACACAAAAAGATTTAAAACAATGTTTTATCAGTGAGATAAATGATTATTACATTGTCTGTAAAACAGATTGTTTGTAATTGTCCTCTTTATTTAGGTTATACCTACTAAATACTTGTCCTATTTTTATTTTTTCTTCTTATCTGTACCATCTTTAGTACCATCATCTATTATAAAATTTAAGGTTGTTGGACAAAAAGTTTTCGAATGTCTGTCACCCAACATCCTTTTTAGTTGTTAATGAATAATAAAATGTTGTTGATTTTTACACTGATTAAATTCTTTTTTTTACTTTTAAAATGAATAATTTGTAAAAGTAATTATTTGACTGACATTACTTTTACATTAACAATAATGCTACCAGTTTTAAAAGATTCATAATTTTCTCATTATGATTTTAAATTTTTTAAAAAATCTTTTTAAAAATAATTGTGATAGTAAAGCATAAAATGAATATTGTGTGATTCATGTGGTTGTTGTTGTTGTTAAGTTATTTAAAATTAACTTTATTATTAGGCACACACTATTGTAAAGTAAGAAAAACTACTAATAGTAAACATGTTAGTAATGTCAAGTCCATTTGTAATTGTTAACTTTTTGCCATCATGTGAGATTCAGTTGAATATAACCAAATGCACAATTATTATTATTATTATTATTTTTTTAAATAATAATTTCCTACTAGTTTTAAAATGTTAATATTCTTTGTTAATTTTTTTTTTTTGCAAAAACATGAAAACTTGAGTAGTAGTTTATTTTTTATATGAATAATACATTTATGATTAACTACAAAGAAGTTTTTTTTATTACTCTTCCGGTCATTACTTGTTGTTGATACCTAATAAAAATATACAATTCATGATTGTTGTTAGTCAAGGTTAGTTTTAAAAAATAAAAGGGATAAACGGGGAATAAAATTACCTGTTGGTGGTTTAAAAGATTTCCAAATGGGATTTTCTCATATTTTTCCGTTACAAAAAAATCCACGGTTCGCGGAATAAACGAAATCCCCGTTTAAAGGAATCGAAATTGATAAGTTTGTTTGTTTGTTTGTTTGTGTGTGTGAGAAAATTGAAAGATCCGGTTATTTTTTTTTCAAGTTTTTTTTTTTTATCTATACGTTGTCATTCTTCTTGTCAGCCAACATCTTTGAAGTGCATATAATATTTCTTCTTCCAAAAAATATAATTGATCGTGATATTCGGTTGTGTGATGACCGGCAACGCTATATTTATTCTTTAAAAGATCCCCCGGAAAAACAAATAATTAAAAAAAAAAAAAACATTTTTTTTTTTTTTTTTGCAAAATAATCAATGACCAAATGTGTTAAAAAGTAAATTGATAATAATAATAATAATAACTTAATGCCCTTTTTCAAATTTAAAAAAACTCATTAAAAATAATTTTTTTTTTTATGATACCGTAAATGTAAATGTAACCGGTAAAAGGTATTAGTACTAATTACTATAAATTCTTGTTATAAATGGTAATAATAATAATAATAATAATACATTGATTTGAATGGCTACTTTAAAAACCTTGAACTCGGTTATAATTGTTATGAGTTGTTTTTTTTCGTAAAAAAGATTATTTTTTTCCCGGTTAAAAATGGCAAAATGGTTAATTAGGAAAAAAAAAAAAAAAAAAAAAAAAAAAAACTTACCAATAAGGGGGGAAAAAGATGGGGAAAATTTTCCGTTCTAAATTTTACAACTTCTTCAACGTTTTTTTCCAATGCTCTTACTTCTTCTTTGTGTATAACACAAATTAATGATATTAACGATGCTATGATTGCATGAATGTGAGCTTTTGAAGTCATTGGAATTTCATTTGAAAGTTTTATGACATCGTTTTGTGCCGTTATAATTAAATGTAGCTGAAATGAATAAGTTTGTCAAATGAAAATCATGTAGTAGAGGGTGGTTGTAGGGATGGTTGTGGTTGTGGAGGTGATAGTGGTTGTAGTGACGGTTGTAGTGATGATGGTTGAGGAGGTGGTGGTGGTGGTGATGATAGTGTTGGTGGATGTAGTGGTGATGGTGATTGAGGTGGTGGTGGTGATGGTGGTTGAGGTGGTGATGGTTGTATTGACGGTGGTGGTGGTGATGGTAGTGATGGTGGTTGTAGTGATTGTTGTGGTGGTGGTGGTGGTGATGGTTTGGGAGTGTGTAGGAACGATACATTTTTAAAAAAAAACAAAACTCACAATGTTGATTGTTATGACCGGATCAGGTATTTCGATTAGCACGATACATAGCGTTGAATAATATGTAACCAATTCGTATTTATTATAAAACAAAAGCATGTTTTTGTGAATACTTCTAAAAAAATCGGCAGAAAAATTCCTGTTGGAAAAAAACAAAAAAAAAAACCAAAAAATATCATTATCATTAAATTTATTTCAAAACGATTTGAAAAAAAAAAAAAAAAAAAAAAATTAACTCACTTAAAAAATTGTGCATCTTCGACATTGAAATCGTAATTTATAACAAAATCGGATCTTCCTTTGAAAAAATAAACGGGTTCGGCGAAAAATCTCAAATTCGAATGTCGATCCAAAAACAAATGAAATATTTTATGGGCTAACATAATCAATCCCTTATCGGGCAAATTAAGGTTTATCAATAGGAAATCCAATAAATCCGCCGTCATAGATTCTCTATAATATTTACAAGAATGTTTTTGAGCCGTGTACGCTATTATTTCCGTTATTTCAACTTTATCTTCGTAGCCTATCGTGTCATCTTGTAAACATTTTGCCATAGAGTCCATAACGCTCACCAAACCTTTGAGAAAAAAAAAAAAAAAATGGTCTTGATAATGGAGGAGGAGGGGAGGGGAGGGGGAGGTGTGTGGGAGGCAAAGGGTTTACTTACTTACTTAGGCTCACCTTTATTATCTTTTATATTGCTTATGAAATTTCTTATACACGTTTTTATGACGACTTTAAATTTTGCATTTTCTAACGTAAACGAAGAAGGTACCGGATTACTTCCGAGTATGAACAATTTCAAAAGAGTATTGTAACAATTGTGAAGCAAATGATTGTATAAATATCTATCCCAAAACGTTTGTTCTAAAAGTGTCGAAAGCGTGCAGGAAACGTCGAAAGCTTCTTTTATTTTCATTTCTTTTTGACTCGTTTCCGTTTGTTTAATTACTTTTGCTATGAGAAATTCCGTTTTTGTTATCATAGTTAACAATTCCTACAAAAAAAAAAAAAAAAAAGGTTTTTTTTAAAATTCGATTGAGAGAGAGAGAGAGAGTGTGAGAGAGAGAGAGAGAGAGAGAGAGAGTGTGAGAGAGAGAGAGATAAACATTCGTATACCTGAAAAACAAAAAGATCGTAGTCTTGAGAGTTCCATTGACCGGTCATGGTCATATACCTTATGGTTTGTTTGACAACTTCATTTTGTTTTTCCGGCAGTATGAGGTACATTGTGTTACGAAACAAATCTTTTGCCTGTTCTAATTTACTCATTCTAAAACAGCTGCAATCGTCTATGCGATTTTGAGTTTTCGAATAGAAAAAATGTAATAGACTCAAAGAGCACCAAGTTAATAATTTTATGTCTTTGGAGAGAGCTTCTTTTTTCGTCGCATTTATTATAAAAACGTTCAAACGTCGTAAACCTACGTTACGAAATTTGATCAACCATTTTTGCTCTTTCGGATTTGCAAGGCAGAGACCTGTTTTGTTTTGTTTTATGTATATATACGTACGGATATGTAACCGTTTATTATTTTTAAATTTTTTAACCACGTCGCACACGTTTTTTTTTTTTTTTTTTTTTTTTTTCCGGGACGCACACGCACCCACACGCACACGCACACGCACACGATTGATAATATATAATTTCTCACCGCACATTTTTTCAAAATAATACGTTCGACCCAACACTCCCGAACGTCCTCGAATGTAATTTTTAAATACTTTCCACCATTGTACTTCCGCTTTGATTTCTTCCAATGAGAAAACTTTAGTTAATTCCGCCGATAAACTCCTATATGTTTTTTTATCGTCTTTATTCCGTGTAAATTTTACTACTGATGTTACTGATTCGCGATTTTGCATTTTCTACTTATTATTATTATTATTACTATTATTACTATTATTACTATTATTTATTTACATTAGGAAAACATTTAATAAATATTTCCTAATTTTTTTTTCTATTTTCGTCACCTAATTTCTATCATTTTGTTAATGGCGGGGGGAGGGGAGGGGCGGAGGGGACGAAAAAAAAAAGAAAAACAATCTCGACGCGACGATTTTATTGTCTGTAAAAAGAAAAAAAAAGGTCAAATCATTATTATTATTATTATTATTGTTGTTGTTAACGTCTTTATTTTTCTGCATTAAAATGATTTTTAAAAAAAATTTTCACTTTTTATTATTTCAATTATCACGTTGTAAAGGTAATTAGTTAATTAATTAAATATTCACGGTCTGATTTTATTTTTATTTTTTTTTTACCTTTTCATTGAAATTATTCACATAGAAATAAAAGAAAATGGAAAAGAAAATGGCGGAGAAAATAAAATGAAAATAAAGAGTGAAACAAAAAAGGATAAATAAATAAATAAATAAAAAAAAGAAAATAATAGAGAATAATATTAAATTAGCGTTGTTGTTGTTGTTGTTGTTGTTGTTATGGTCTCTGGCAATGACCTCGCGGGAATCTTAACAAAGGAAAAATAATAATAATAATAATAATAATAATAAGAAAAGAAGTCACGCCACCACCTGTAAAGGTCACTTCGTAGGAAGTGACTAAAAAAAAAAAAAAATGAACTTGTAACTTGTGCACAACCGTAAACACAAAAAATCGCGAAAATCCACGAATCGGTTTTCCTTTTGTTTTAAAATTTTTCGCGTTTGTTTTTTTTTCAAATTATTATTATTATTATTATTATTATTATTATTATTATTATTATTATTATTATTATTTAATAAGTCGAAAACTTTTTTTTTTTGAAAAGATGTCGGAAATTCATTGCAGGGAAATTTTTTTTTTTTTTTTTTTTTTTTTTTGAAAAAGAGTTTCCAATCACGAAACACATTAAATCGATCGATTGAAAAGTTGGCAATACTGATGACGTAACCGTCACAATATTGAAAAGCGATAAAAAATATTAATAATAAACAGTGGAAAATGATAACAATTTTTTGTTATTATTATCATTTTTTAAAAATTATGTAAAAAAAAAAAAAAAAAATGAAATTCATGGAAATTAATTCAGGGGAAAAAAAAAAAATGGCGATCGAAAGGAAGCGTTTGAATAATAAAATTTGAAAACTTTTTCTTTTCAAATCAAACGAAATCAAAAAAAAAAAAAAAAAAAAAAAAAAAAGTTATGGCTGTCATCGTTTCTTGTTTCGAATTTACATAACGTCGTAAAAAAAAAAAAAAAAAAATAATAATAATAATAAATTGGGTAAAATTAACTCTTTGCATCGATGATGATTTTTTTTTCTTTCGCTTTTCCAATTTTCTTACGTATTCGCAACAATAAATTTTCCTGGAAAAATCAAAAAATATTTTGCGTTCACATCACGTAAAATGAAATTGTATTGAAGTGAACAACATCTTTGATTTACTTAATTTTTTCTTTTTTCTTTCTTTCTGCACCAGTAAAAACACCGCGGAATTTATTATTATTATTATTATTATTATTATTATTATTATTATTATTATTATTATTATTATTAATGGCAACGATTTTCAGGTACTCGTAAAAGTTTTGCATTCATTCCAGGTTTCTTACCCGATTCTTTTAGAATAATTACTCGAATATTGGTAGTGCTGTCGAGGGTTTCACTTCCGGTAGGGGTTTCTTCTTCTAATTTCCTTTTATTGAATGTGTCGTGGCCCCAGTTCTGCTCCCACGATGATCGGAATCGTTTCTGTCTTTACTTCCTCCCACATAATGGCTATTTCGATTTTCAAACTTCTCCAGTATTTCAGCTTTTTGTCCGCTTTTTTGGCTATCTGGTGTTTTTTTTCCGCCGGTACGGATACTTCTATTAGTTCCAACCATTTTCCAGGCTCATTTTCCGGTTCGTAAGCAGTCACAGGACCGTCTGCATGTATTTGTTGATGGTATAGAGCCGTGCACGAACCCGCTGTCGTGTTTGGCCGGGTTTGGAACATGGTTGATTCTATATTTTTTCATCTAAGCTTTTCTTTTCATTTTTTCCGACAGACATCATTTTCCAATGAAAACATTTTCAGATTTTCTTGTGCCTTCCATGATATCCACTTTTTGCGAATATCAGACTTGTGTGAGAAACAATTAAACAGTCGTTTGATTTCGTTTTTCGACGAGAAAATTCGACCATCTTGATGGAATCATGTTTTCTCGGACGGAAAATATCGATTTTTTGCATTTCGATGCTTCGAATTCGATACGGTTGTGCACTATTATCATTATCATTATCATTATTATTATTATTAAATAAAACGCAAAAAAAAAGAAATAGGAAAAATTATAATTTTTTCGTGCGCAGGGTTTTCGTAACAATTTAAAAATTTCATTCATTGTTTTTTTTTATTTCATTTATTTAACACGAATCCGGAAATTTTTAAAATTTTTCCCCTTTGACGCTTCCATGATTTAAAAAAAAAAAAAAAAAAATATAATCAAAATTATTATTATTTTTTTTAATAAACAATCGCATTGAATATCAATAACGATAATAATAACACTACTACTAATTATTATTATTATTATTATTGTTATCATCGTATAATTACATAACGTATTATTAATATTATTATTATTAAATTGAAATTCGATGGAAAAATCTAAACGACCTTTAATAAAATTTTAAAAAAATTCTTATTATTAAAAATTGTTGCGGAAATAAGATTTTTCAAAAAAAGTTAAAGAAAAAAAAAACTTTGGAAAATTTTAGAAAAAAAAATTTACGCGGGAAAAATTGAAAATTTAAATTTTCTTGTGTGAAATGAAACAAAATAAAAATAAAAATAAAAAATTTTCTTTTCATGTTTTCCCAATTTTTTGTTTGTTTGTTTCATTTCCCATTTTCGTTTTATTTTATTTTACCAAAAATTGGAATGAATTAATGATAATGATGATGATGATGATAATAATAATAATAATAATAATAATAATAATAATAGTAATGATTTTTATTTTTTTATTTTTTTTCGTTTGAATTTTCAGATTGAAAAAGTTTTTACAAAGTTTAAATATAAAGTTAAACATAAAATGAGTTTCCAGTTTTTGTTATTATTATTATTATTATTAGGGGTTTTTTTTGTCTACGGTAAAAAAGGGTGAAAGAAAAGAGTGTGACGTGGAAAAAGAATAAGAAAATGTGAAAATTTTTTACAGCGAGGTGAGAGAGAAAGAGAGATAGAAGGGGAGAGAAAGTGGAAGAAGATAAAGATGAAGGAAAGAAAAAAGGGAGGTGAGAAGGAGGAAGGGAGGGGGAGGGGAGGGAAAAGGAAAAAAAAATATTTCTTGTTTTTTTTTAATTACACGGAAATTTTTCGAATTCTAAAAACTTAAATTTAATAGTTTTAAATCTTTTAAAATTGATAACTCAACCAAGATTAAACATTTTGAATTTTATAAGTAATTATAAGGTAACTTTTACGCGGGTGGGGGGGGGGTGGAGTAGGAGGGCGGGAAGCAGACGGTAGGGTAGGAGAGGAGAGGGGGCGAAGCGAAGTTAAGAAAGAAAAAGAGGAAACGAAGAAGTAAAAAAAAAAAAAAAAAAAAAAAAAAAAAGAAAAGTTTTTGTAAAGTTTTTGAGTCTTTCCCAAAGGGCCGGTAATAAAATTAATTTTCTGCGTCGGAAAATTTCCTACAATTTTATGACAATCGAGAAAACTAAATCTTACTACGGTTTTCCCTTATTAAAAACCACAATTTATTATTATCATTATCATCATTATTTTTTCTTTTTATTTGATTCGGTTAAATTAATTATCATTTTTTTTTTTTTTTAATAATAATAATAATTATTATTATTATTAAAAATTTTATTAAATTGATTTTTTATCGTTTTGAAACAAAACGTCGATGGCGTCGTATTTTTTTTTTTTTAACGGTTTTTTGAAAATCGATTTTTATAGTTTTGTACGATACAAACAACAACAACAACAAACAACAATTTTTTATCGTTTCAAAACAAAAACAAATTTGATTCGTTTAAAATAATTTTTTTTTTTTTTTTTATTAAATAAAATTAGAAACGGTTTAGTAAAAAAAAAAATTATGGCGCGAAAAATAATTTATTATCATTACTTACGTTATTTTTTTATAAATATGATTTACATCATCATTATCATCGTCGTCGTTTGACAAAAAAACCTTTAATATTTACGTAATTATATTGTAAAAATAACGTATTTATAAAATTTACTAACAAACTATTTTTGTCTTCTGCTTTGAATAATTTAAAAAAAAAAAAAACAAGGGAATTTCTGAACGCGCGCGTGGCGGATGTTTTCGAATAAAAAAAAAAATTTATTAATTATTAATGCGAGATATTTAGTAATAAGTAATAAATTATTTATTTATTTATTTTTATTTATTTGTTAAAAATAAATAAATATTTACGTTGCGCTTATAGGAAATTTGATTTTCACATTGTCGTGTAAATAGAAATGATTTTCAAGAACGCGTGACGTATTCGAACATCGTTTCATCATCGAACGATGACGTCATGTAAATAAAATGAAAAACAAATTTCTGAAAGAGCTCTTTGATTTGACAAATCAAATACTTTTTCTTTTCTTTTCTTTTTTTTTTTTTTTATTTTAAAAAAAAGGAAAAAACTATTTTTACCTTTCGTTTTATCTTTTCTTTTTACGTTTTTTTTTGTTCGAAAACGTGAAAATAATTACTATTGGGAACGCGAGAGAATATTCTCGAATATGACGTTAAACAAATATTTGAAAAATATTTAAATAAATTTTTAGTACATTTTTTTAACGGTAGACTGCGCATTTCGTTAGTTATTTATTTATTTTTTTGATGGAGTGGTTTAAAACGAAATAAATTTTTATCGCGCGCGGGAAAATGGCGTGAATGGGGAAAAAAGGCGGGAACGCACAAATACGAAGAGACAAAAAAAAACCTTCTTCGTGAAATTGTTTAATTTCTTTTTCTTTTTTTTCAGAGAGAGAACAAATGTGAAAATCGCGTGCGTAACGGTTTTCCTTTTTTGTTATCATCAAGGATAACTTTTATCAAAAAAAAGAAAATTTTTTTTTATTTAGGATTTTATTCGTTTTATCAAAATTGAATCCGTTAATCTCGAAATTTAGAATTTTAAAGATGGACGAAGGGTGAAAATCTATTATCACAGGGAGAACTTATTTAAAATCTTTGTCTCTCTCTCTCTCTCTCTCTGTTTCTCTCTTTATGTATCTTTCTTTCAATTTTTAAGTAAAAAAAAAAAACCGTTAAAATGGCGGCGAAAAAAGGGGCATCACGATAAGAATAACAGGAAGAAAAAAAAAAAGAAAAAAAAAGGGGGGGGATTCACTTTGTTAATTTTTTTTTACTTTTTTTTTTCTGAAGGCATTTTTATTATCTTTGATGTGGGTTTCATCGTAAATCAATCAAATTTCGTATTAATTTCTCTCTCTCTCTCTCTCTCTTTCTCTCTCTTTCTCTCTCTTTCTCCCTATCCTTGTTTTCAGCAAGAATTTAACAAACTTAACGAGTTTTTTCAAACGGAAAATGTTTGGTTAAAAAAAAAAAAAAAATTATTGTTATCACGTAATCTGGCAGTAAATAATTCGTTAAAAAAAAAAAAAAAAAAAAAAATTATTTATCAAAAGATAATTCCACTTTTTGAAAAATTTGCTGAAAACGAGGAAGAGAAAAAAAAAAAAGAAAAAAAAAGAAAAAGGAAAAAAAAAGGAAAATTCTTGGCACGTAATAAAAATCATCCTTTTGCCAAAGACGACGACTACGCGTACAGGTTTACCAAATTTTTCTTTAATTCCTATGAAAAATTTCATCAATAACGTTTAATAATTTTTATTCGGCGGATCTCCCCCCCCTTCCTTTCCCTTTCTAACGAAGGGAGAAAGACTAAATAACTAAAAACTAAAAAATGTCGGGAAAAAGTTTTTCTTTTTTTTTTTTTTCCGATTAAAATCTTTCGTCGCGCGGATTACATAATAATAAACGTTTCCCTCCCCTCCCCCCACTACCCATTCCTTGAAAAAAAGTAATGACGAGAGTAAAAAGTCGAAAACAAGGTGAATGGTAAGAGGAGAAGTAGGAGGAGGAGGGATTTTTGTCGCCAAAATAACCAACGGATCGGTTAATTAAAATTTTGATTTGAAAACGTTCCGGAACGTCGCGTGGAAAGTTAATAAAGTTGATTATAATATGTCAGTTTGGAAAATGTTTTTGATTTAAATTTAATCTCATTAAAGTTTAAACTTGTAACTTGTTTAAAGAGGAATAATAATAATAATAATAGTGATAATAATAATAAAGGATTAGATTGAAATCGTCGATATAACGAAAATACATTTCTTCATTGGAAAGAGAGGGGGAAAATTTTATTTAACGGTTTTTTTTTTTTTTTTTTAAAACTTTTAAGACGTTAAACGATTATTTTTATATTTAATATATATATATATATATATATATATATATATATATATATATATATATATATATATATATAATATAAATAATTAAAATTAAATTAAATTAAATATTTGCGGTTCTTTCGCGAAATCCGAGATGCAATCCGTTTTTAGGTTCGAGAATAACGCTATCCAATTTATATTTAATTATTTTCGGAGTTTTTTCCGTTTCGAAAACTTCAAAACGTGATAATAATGATACTATACCTATTTTTATTTGATTTATAGCAAATCTATTTCCTGTAAATTTATTAAAAAAAAGAAAAAAAGAAAATTTCATCGTTTTTAATCGTTTTTCCATTTTTTTTTTTTTTTTGTTTTAAATAAATAGGAAAGACAGAGAAAAAAGAAAATGGCGTCTAACGGTTATTCAAACTTACCGATACAATATCTGGGCCCTTCACCGAAATGCAACGAAGTCAAATAATTTCTTTTTTGTCTTTCTTCTGGAGTTTGCCTGTCCGGATCAAACTTATCAGGATCCACAAAATAATCCGGGTCGTTTTGTATGGCTTGAATGGGAATGAAGAGCCTGGAATTTTTCGGAATCGTCACGCCATCCATATCAGGTACCGTATAATCTTTTGTACAATGTCTCGTCAATCCGAATATCGGTGGATATTTTCGAAGAGTTTCTATAATAATAATAATAATAATTTGAAACTACCCCCTCCTCCCCTTTCTCGACGAATAAATAAAAGGAAAAATTTCTCTCATTACCCTGAACGACGGAATTTAAATATTGCATTTCCGTTAAACTCTCGTACGTTATTTCACCGTCGTGTTTTTCTCTGACGTCATCAATTTCAAATTGTAATTTTTTTTGCACGCCCGGATTTAATGCCAATTCGTACATGGCGGATGTTAATGCCGATGAAGTCGTTTCGAATCCGGCGAAAAAAAAAACGAAAGCTTGTGCGGCGGCTTCTTTAATAGTAAATTTGAAATCTGCGAGAAAAAAAAATGATGATAATAATAAAAGAAGGCGGTGGGGGAAGGGGAGGGTTGTTGGATTTTAATTACCTATCGAATCTTTCGTTGAAATTCCGTTTGTTGTTGTTGTTGTTGTTTCTCCTCCTCCATTTAAATGTTGTTCCCCGTCATCTATTTTTCCATTGTTTTTCAATTGCATGAGAAGATGGAGGAAATCATTTCTTATAATTTTATTTTTCTCTCTGTATTCCATCGTTTCTTTAACGGCATTTGTAAAAAAATCCGACACGTCTTTCGATATCAAACGAAACTATAATAAAGGTAGGATTAGATGATAATAATAATAATAATTAACGTGAATCGTGTGAATAGTGAAGTGACTCACCCCGAAAAAATAAGCAAATTTAGGAAAAGTTAAAAAAATCGTTCGACTTATTTTTCTCGAAAAATTAGATTCGAAAATTTTTTTCCCGTAAATTCTAAAATCCGAATTTGGATTGGTCATAGAATTTGTTTCTATACCGAAAGCGCAAGAGGATATGACGTCAGTGCCGTATCTAGAAAACAAATCGTGCACTTCCAACGATTTATTTAAATTCGAGCGTACGTGTTGTTGTAATTGTCGTCCGCATTCGTTCATCAAACGAAACATTTGTTTCATTTTACCGGAAGTGAATGTCGGAGTTAATTTGATTCTTAAATTTTTCCATTTCGAACCGGATAAGTTGAATAAATGTCCTTGAACGAAAAGAAATTCGAAACAAAAAAAAATTAAATGGAAAAATTGGAGCGAGGGGGGGAGGAAGGGTGGGGTGCAGGGGGCGGGGGAAAACTTACCGGCAAGATGGTCGACGTTGAAATCAACGGGTAATCCGTGATCGTGAAAATATTCGAAATCTTTAATTAATATATTTTTAATTAAATTCAAATCCGTTACTAATAGAACGGGTTTGGTGAACATCCAAAATCCGATTAATTTTTCATTTTTATATTTGTAATAAATTTCGTTTAATTCGGACGCGAAACTTTTTAAAAAATTCACTTTCCAAATGTTACCGATCAGAAAATTGGGTTTCAAATGAAAAATATTTTTATTTTTCCAATATTTCGAACCTATGAATTTAAAATGAAAATAATAAAACGTCGCGAGAATGATGGAAATCGGTAGGAAAGAGTATTGCAGTGTAAAAAATAACGTTGTTGTTTGCGCGACAATTTCAAACGTCGACATTTTCGAAACGCGTTCAGAAAGTGATTTTCCGGTTTACTCGTTTACGAAGTTAAACGCGAATCCTTTCGAAACTACATTCCGACAATAAAATTCTGATCGTTATTATTATAAATGCGATGATGATGATAATAATGACGTTGTTGCATCATTTTTTTTTTTGTAATCTTCGATATTGACGATTCGATATATATATATATATATATATATATCAATCGATAATCGTTTGTTTTTCGAGAGTTTTTTAAATTTTTTGTTTGTTTGTTTGTTTTAATCGTATAAATTTAAATTGAATTTTTTTATCGTTGATTAATTTATTATTATTATTATTATTATTATTATATTTTGCGAATTTTTTTTTTTTTTTGTTTTCTGATTGATATTTTATCGATTTGATAATTTTACTTATCGATTTTATTATTATTATTATTATTATTATTATTATTATTATTATTATTATTATCATCATCATCGATAAAAAATGTCGACGATTTTATTTAATTTCGTTTATTGTTAAAATATTTAGTAGGAGTTTAGTAGAAGTTTGCGCGACGACGTATCCTTTTTTTTTTTTTTTTTTTTATCATTTTGGCACTATTGTTTTTTCGATATATAATTACGATTCGTTTGATAAAGGCGAGAAAAAAAAATATATCGCGGCCATTTTTTTTTTTCTCTCAAAAATAAATTTCACGCATTGTAAAAATAATAAAATGTTTTTGTAAAAAATTAATTTTCATTCGATTTGATTATTATTATTATTCTTATTATTATATAAATGAAAACGCGTGTGGATAGTATGGGGGAAAGGGAGGGGAGGGGGAAGGGAGGAAACAGGGAAAATTGTCGGTAAAAAAAAAAAAAATAAAAAAAATTATACTTATAATCTGAGATTACACTCCCGGAAAACCATTAAAAAAAAAAATATGCACATAAAAATTCATTGGTGCGAAAATAAAAATGGCGGAAAAAAATGATAATAAAAATTCATTTATCCATTCATTGAATGTGAGAGAGAGAGAAAGGGGAGAAAGGGTGGGGGAGAGAGGAAAAAATATTTTCCCATTTTTTTTTTTTTTTTTTTTGTCAAATGGTGTTTAAATTTTAATCACTGCGTTTTCGTACTAGGGAAAACCTCCTCCTCCTCCCCTCCGGACGAAAGGGTGCTAAAGTCGGAGGGTAGAGGGGGTAGGGGGTATCCGGAACCGGAAATGAACGAAACAGTTAAACAAAAAAAAAAAAACGGTCGTTTTGACGACGTCGTCATTTAAATTTATTATGACATGTATATATAAATTTTTTATTATTTATTTCTTTCGTCATTAACAATTAAATATTAATTATTATTATTATTATTATTATTATTATTATTATTATTATTATTATTATTATTATTAATTACTGTGATACTATTATTATTATTAATAATATGATTTTTTTTTTTTTTTTATAGATTTTTCACGTTCGACCGCGTTGAGCGTGTTCGCGATGATGATGATGATGATGATAATTTTTTGTAATTTCATCTTTGAAAGCCAAAAATCCTAATTGAGCGTGAGAAGCTTCGTTTAAAGCTTTCGAACGTATGCAGGATTTATATTGATCCGGAGATAATTGCTGTCCAGCAGCATTCGAAGAACAAACCTGTAAGTCAATATATATATATCCATTCATTTTTTAATTCACTTAAAAAAGAGAAAAAAAAAGTTTGGCATAAGAACGAAAGAAGGATTACACTTCCCCTCCCCCCCTCTCTCTCTCTCTCTCTTTGGATTAAATGCAGAAAAGTTTTTCTTTTTTTTTTTTCTTTTTTTTTTTATCTCGAACGGAAAAAGATTTCAAACCGAAATTCATGTTGGCGAATTTAAACAATAAATCATTAGTTGTAGTTAGTAAGAAAACGAGGGAGTCAAATTTTCCCTTCCCCCCTCCCCCCGGCCTCGCCCCCCCCAATTTTTTTAAAAGAGCGGTATTAAGAAAAGGAAAACTTTTCCTGATAACCTTTGAAAAAGGAAAAAAAAAAAAGATTTAAAAAGAAAAAAGGTTTTTATTTTTTTTTCTCAAAGGAAATTTTTTCGTTTTATTTTTATTTTTTTTTTTTCCACGACGACGACGTTTATAAATTCAAAACGAAAAAAAAAAGGAAAAAGGAAAAAAGGAAAAAAGGAAAAAGAAAAGTCGCAATTTATCGCGTTGTAAATGATTTATATTGGAAGCGACAAATTTGCTAAATTAAACCTTAAAAAAAAAAAAAAAAAAAAGTTTTTTTCACTCTTTCTCCGTTAATTTATTTTTCTTTAAATTAGCCGGGAAGAGTGAAAAAGGGAGGGAGGGAGGGAGGGAAAGGCTGCGCAATGCGAGAAAGAGAGAGATAGAGATTGTGTGAGACAGAGAGAGAGAGAAAAGTTCCGCGACGCTCTTACTATTACTACTACCACCCCAAAATTTTATTCGTTTATGAAATTTTAATTAAAAAAATGGTTGAAAGCGGAAGTGACGAGTTATTCGTAGCGTTCGCGATTCGAGATACTCGTTCGAGATGTAAAAATCGATAATTTTATCATAACCGGAAATGACAAATTTTTCGCTTTCTCTTATCATTTTCTAAGGAATAGGATTCTTTGAACGAAAAGTTTTGTTGATAGCAAAGGTTGGTAGAGTAGGAGGAGGAGGAGGAGAAGGAGAGGGAGGGGAGGAGGGTGGGAAAGATGTGGGAAAACGAATAATGTCCCGAATAAAAATTTCAAAACGAAAAAAAAAGAAAAAAGCAGAAGACATTTAAACGTCTTTTCTTTTTTTTTTTTTTTTTTTTCCAAGAGTCGAATGCCAATTATGACTGTCGTTAGCAAAAAAAAAAAAAATTTTTTTTTTTTTTTTTTTTTGCTATAAATTCGCGGATTTGTCAGTTGCAAAATTGACTCACGTAGTCTCTTTCTCTCTCTCTCTCTCTCTCGCTCGCAAAAAAAAAAAAAAAAACTTACCCGTCAAAATTTTTGATTTTATTTATTATTAATAGTAAAAGTAATAAATCAAAAACGCGGGGAAAATTTTTTTTTTAAAACTCTTTTCTCTCTCTCTCTCTCTCTCTCTCTCTCTCTCTCTCGTTTTTGGCATAAATCTTATCTTTTTTTTAAAAAAAAAAAAAAAAAAAAAAGAAAAAAATTAGAAAACTTACCTTTGGATGCCAAATATGAAAAATTCCAGGATCCGTTGCTCTAACAACTTTAATATCAGATTTAACGTATTTCCTATAAAGATTAACATCTTCTCCGCCCCAACCGACGACATCTTCGTCAAATCCTTTTACGTTGAAAAAATCGGATCGATATTGACACGTCATACCGAAACCGAAATCTCTCCAATATCCGGTATCTCGTGACACGATCAACTGATCCGTTTCCGATGGTATTTCCTTTCCCTGAACCTTGTACACAACGTTCGGATTGTACAAACTGAAAACGATCGGATAATAAACTTGTTTTTTGGGTTTCGCGTTCCACCGACACCTATCCAAAAACCTCGAACTGAATATTATGTCGACGTCGCACATAAATAACAACGCGTCGACATTTTTCCCTTTCGTCTTGTTTTCACCACCACCACCGTCGGCACCGCCGCCGCCGTCGTCACCATCATCCCAAACTCTTTCCGCTCCGACTCTCAATCCTTTCGCTCTTGAAAAAGTTTCGTTCAGAGCTAAAAGTCTCAAACTATTTCTTCCATTTCCTTTTTGCTGTACGATTTTCGACATTATGTTTCTCGCTTCCGACAAACCCTCTTCCCCGAAATAAACGACGGTTAAATGCACTCTCTTATCGTTTTTCAAACCGATTTTAACGAATTTATCCATGAAACTACGAAACATGTTCGTCCTACCCGACAGCGGCAGTATCACGTGTACCAATTCTTTTCTTTTCGCGAACGGTAAATCCGTAACGGATATTTTCGCGAGTTCCGCGAACGGACGCATGAGTATCACTTTGACGTAATTCGGTAAATTATTATTATTATTATTATTTAAATTATTTTTGTCGCGAAAATACAATTCGTATTGCGTACCCGTCGTCGGATCGATCCTATACAAACCTTCGACGAAATCTTCCAAACCGTATTTATTATTATTATTATTATTATTATTATTATTATTAAATTTAGGTTTATATTTTTTCCCGTTCGTCACGTTCGCACGTGGATTTTTATTATCCAATGATGACGATTTCCTCTTGTTCGTTTTTTTTAATTTTTCATCGTCGATATTTAAACTTTCCAATGCTTTGAATAGAGTTTCCGTTAAATCTTTTCTCTTGTATCCGATGGGCTTTTCGACGACTCTCTTACCCAAACTCAAATCGACCGGATGTATTCGATTCAGTGTGAATTGAGTGAAGGGTATTATCTCGTACTCGTTGTTGAGAGGAACCCCTTTCGTTAATTCTGCAGATTCGATTTGTTTTTTGACGTGTAACGAACAATCGTCGTCGTTTGTCGTCAAATACGACAAAGACGACGACGACGACGAGTAATTGTACAATTTTACAAAATCGACCGGGGTTTGAGAGAAAAGGGAAGAATTGCATTTGAAAAGTTGCATTCTAAGCGATTTGATTTCAATGGTCAACCTTTCGATTTCGTCTTTTTTCTGTTGTAAAACGTTCCTGTAGGATTTTATTATTTCCTCTTGGGATTGAGAATTTAAAAAATCTATTTCCGTCGGGATTTCCGTGGGTTCTTGATACGCGTCGAGCGGAATCCTACGTTGATTTTGTAAATTTTTTTCATTTTTTTTTTTATGAAAGTGCGACAAAGGAATTCCTGAGTAGAGAAAAAAAAACTATTGTTATTATTTTTCCGCGACATTTTTTTTTTAAATTTTTGCGACAAATTTTAAAAATTTTTTTACGAATTTTAAAAAAACAAGGGAAAATCGTGGACAAACGTTATAGTGAATTATCGTGGCAGGAGACTACGGGATAAAATATTTAATTCGAGTTGCACACAAACGAAAAAAACGTAAAGAAAATTTTTGGGGTAATAAAATTTTCCAGCAGGAAAAAAAAAAAAAGAAAAACGTTTTTTTTTCTTTTTTTTTTTTTTGCTTTCGCACCTTTGGAGAGAAAAACCCCCCCGGAATTTTCAAAAAAAAATTTTTTTTTTTTCCAATAATTTTTTTTTTTTTTCGAAAAAAACTTTTTTGCTTAGTGGAAAGTTTTTTTTTTTTTTTTTTTTTTTTGTGAAAACATTTTCCGTTCGTGGCTCATTAAACTTAAAAATAATTTTTATCCTTCTCTTAAATTTTTTTTCGAGAAGTTTTCAAAAGATTTTTGCCCCCTCCCCCCCCTTTTTTTTTTCTTTTTAACGACAAAATTCCCTCGACGTGTAATTTTTAAATTTTTTTTTTTTAACTCGATAAATAATAATAATAATAATAATGGGGGTGGTGGGGGTGGTGGTAATGACATGATAATTTTTGATTAGAAAACTTACCCGTACCGTGGTCGTTATTATTGTTATTATTATTATTATCATCATCATCTTCCAAATTAAGACCGCAACGATTGAAAAGAAGCAGAAGAAATAATGCGCTTAACGAGCATGCCAAAAGAAGCAATCGAGGCAATAATTTCATACCAAAGTTTTGAATCATCGCCCGATCGCGACAAAACCTATAAAATAAAAAAAAATAATAAAAATTTAAAATTTAAAAAATTATTTTCGCGCCAAATTTAAATTCGCGACGAACCCCCCTTTAATTCATTCATCATTTTAGTAACATAAAAAGGGGAGAAATATTTTACTATCGTTTTTTAAATTTTTTTTTTTTTTAAACGGGAAAAAATTATTTCGAACCGGGAGGGAGGGGAGAAGGAGGGGGAGAATACCGGAATCGCTAAATTTTGTATACATTTTTTAAAAATTTTCTTCTCATTTTCCCGCCATTTTTGAAATCGAGACGAATGCACTTTTTCTTTTCTTCTCCCGATTCAACGATTATCAAATGTTTTTATTTTCTCTATGATTTCAATCGATTTAATTTTTAACGAAAATGAAAAAAAATTCGACGAAGGAAAGGAAGAGAGAGAGAGAGAGAGAGGGAGGGAGGAGGAGGGGGAGGAAGGAGGGGAATGGAAAAAGCATAGAGAGAGAAACTTTTTTTTTTTCATACCGGAAACGATCGAAAAACTAATAACTAAAAATTGAACCGAATTTTTTTTTTTTCTCTCCCCCGTATTTTTAAATATTTTTTTCATTTACTAAAATTTGTTTCGAGTGTTTGCGTGCGCGTATAAAAAAAAATTCTGCGTCCACGTTTTTTTTTATAATTCGAGAAATGATTAAAAACAAAACAAAAACGAAACAAAACGAAAAAAAAATTAAATAATTCTACGTCGTTAAAAAAGAAAGGTAGGGGAAGAGAGATAGAGAGAGAGAAACATCGGGGGAATACAGAGAATGGGGCCGGGGGAGGGAAAAAAAACAAAATTTGAAAAATTTCCGGTTCCGGAAAAACACAAAACGTATTTTTTTTTTTTTTTTTTAAATAAAAATAAAAAAAAAAAACAAATAATAAGAGTTAAAATTTATTGAAAAGGGAAAAAAGAAATAAAAACATCCGATAATTTTTTTTTTATTACTTTTATCATTATCATCATCATCATCATCATCATCATCATCATCGTCATCGTCATTATAACTATTGTTATCATTATTATTATTGATGATGACGACGATGACGACGACGACGACGACGACGATAAAAGTTTATTAATAAATAAAACAAAAAAAAAAAATTTACGGTTAAACGTTTTTCCGGTAAATTCCCCCCCCCCCCCTCATTTAAAAAATAAATAAATAAATTTTTTTCGGAAAAGGAATTTTCCCCGGAAAACTTTTTAAAAAAAAAAAAACATAATAATAATAATAGAAAAAATTTAAAACTACATTAAAAGAAAATTGAAAAGTAACGGCGGTGAAATTATCATTATTATTATTATTATTAATATTTTTTTTTAAATTAAAAGAAAAAATTTTTTGTTTGTTTGTTTGTTTTTCTTTTTCCGAGCAGACGACGAGTTTATTTATTTTTTTTTATTTTAAAATTTATTTATTTATTTCGTAACTGTGACGTCATATCATCGAATCGACGACAACGACGACGACATTTTTTTTTTTTTGTGACTTCAACATGTACGAAATTTTCTATAAAAAAAAAAAAAAAAAAAAAAAAAAAACGAACCCCCGCGGTTGTTTATTTTCAAATGTCAAACTTTTAGATTTTTCCTATTTATTATTATTATTATTATTATTATTCGAACGGATTTTAAAATGAAAACTTTATTAAATGCTCCGCCATATTCTCTTTCCCCCTCTCCCCCCCCCCCTACCCTCTCTCTCTTTGTGTGTGCGGCTTTTATCCTCCCTAAAATTTTCCTTACGGACGGTTAAACTTTAAAATTATCGACTGCATTCGTCATCATTTTAACCATTAATTTTTTTTTTTTTTTAAATTTGAATTTATTAATCGCGCGCGCGCGCCAAAAAATATTTCCCCCTCCTCCTTTTTCCTCTCTCGTTGTTAAAAAAAAACAAGAAACCATCATTTTAAAAAATATTTTGAAGTTAAAAAAAAAAAAAAAAAAAGGGAAGAAGATTCCAGTTGTTACGTTCGATGTGAGGAAAGGGAAAAAAGTCGGAAAAATGAAGTAGGGAGGAGGAGAGGAAAGGGAAAGAGAAGGGGGAAAAGGAAGGGAAAAAAACGGCCAAATTGAGATCGATAATGATAAATGAGTTGTTTTGTTGAATAACCGAACGTCGAGTCATTACAGGGGGAAAATTTTAAAATTACAGAAAAAAAAAAAGGAAAAAAAAAAAAAAAAAAGATGAAGGAAACGTTTGGAAGATCGAACGAAAGAACGGAAATACATGAGGCAGAAAAAAATTTCCCGGGGGGGGGGTGGAAGTGGGGAGGAGCCATGAAAAGAGAGAGAGAAAGAGAAATAAAAAAAAAAAAAGAAAATCAATGATTTCATTTTTTTCACATTTTCCGGAGAAAATTTTTTTTTTTTTTTTTTTTTTTAATAAAATAAAATAAGATAAATTAAACGGAGGGGGTAGGGGAGGGGAGAAAGAAAAATTCGTGATAAAAATCGCAAGAATAATCACGTGATCGGAAAATTGAAGAGGGAAGGGGAGGGGAAGGGGGAAATGCGGGAAAAATTATTTTTTCAAAAAATAAAAAATAAAATTTCGTCGTCGTTCTTTTACATTTTTCGGAAATTTTTCCTCCTTCTTCCTCCCACTTTTCCCTTCAATCTTTCCCTTTCCCTTTCTCTCTCTCTCTCTCTCTCTCTCTATCTCTTTCTTTTTCTAGAATTTTCCTTTCGTTCTCATCGTTTTAAATAAAATTGTCAAACCTTATTTATTTATTTATTTTCTTTTCTTTTTTTTTTTTTTTTTTCAAACAAAAATATAAAAAATGTCTGACGTTTTTTATTTTTCTTCTCATCTTTATGCATAAAATAAACTCGAAAGATATATATTTATTTTTCATAGTAATTTAGTTCAACCTTTTCGAAAATGAAAAAAAAAAAAAAAAAAAAAACGTGTCAGAAGATTTTATCATTATGTTAGTTAAAGGAAAATTAATCACCCGTAAAAAAAAAAGGGTAAATAAATACGTAACGTGCAAAAAACAAAAAATAAAAAAAATGAAAAGAATTTAAAATAAAAATAAAAAAAAAAAGAATCGAATTTTTTTTTTCCGCGTTCTTGATCCCACGTTTAAATAATAATAATAATAATAATAATAATAATAATAATGATGATGATGATGATGATGATGATGATGATAACATTAAGCTCGAAAACATTATTAAAATTAATTATTTAATTTTTACTCGAGATTAAAATAAGTCGCAAAAAAAAAAAAAAAAATGAAAAAGAACGTGGAAATAGAACGATGGAAGGGTGGAGTAAATGAGCGAAGCGGAAGAAATGACGTAAGAGTGAGAGAGAGAGAGAGAGAGAGAAATCAGTCGGTCGGGGAAAGAGAAAAGGAAAAAGGAAAATTTTTTTTACAAACGCAACAAACGTTTTGAAATTTTAATTGAGTGATGAAAAAATAAAAAAAATTTT